ACTAGAAAAAAAAACTGTGAACTTGTCGATAGTTCTATATCTTTTTGTTTTTGTTTGTTTTTTCATTATTCTTTATTTCCTATTTCGTCAAATGTTTAAGAAAATTCAGAGTGCTTACGAACCTGGAATATAGTACAGTGTGCCTGAAATGTTACCAGTGATTCATATATTTATGAATCAAAAGTGATCAGTGCGAGGTAAAAATGAATCATAAACATGGCAGCTTCACGACCGTTCCCAAGTCGTCTTGAACATGAGCACACAAGCAAACACGTAACAGTAGACGAGTAGGAGCTGGATGGAGGTTACACGAATATTCTGAGTGTCAACTTATTCCGAAACTCAGAAAATGACAAAGTCATTTTCTGGGAAAAAATTGTGGCAATCGCGATGGTAAAATACGTCTAGAGAGCTTTCAACTGAGTGTCGTAAAACCAAAACGGAAGTAATCACAACGGGCAATCAAAGAAAGACAAATAAATTTAAGAGCCAATGAGAACACTCAAAAAAGAAGAGAAAAAAAAGAGTGGGAAAACGCGCGGAAAAAGCAAGCGACCAAGTCGTAACTGGTTCTAATTTTGCATCTGATTGGTTGGGAGAGTAGCGTGAGTTTTTTTGGACCAATCACAGAGAACCAAAAAATAGCCCCAAGCGCGGGAAAACGCGAGCGAACAAGTCGTGAGTTTTGCATCTGATTGGTTGAGAGAGTGGCACGAGTTTTTTTGGACCAATCCCGACGAACTAAATTAAAAACAAAACAATCTGGATCATTTTCGACACTCGATTGAAAATTGCTCTCATTATTGATAAATACAGATTGGTCGTTTTAAATTAAATTGCACAGTCAATCTCTCAAAACAAAGCAATTCTCCATACTTTGGCTGCCCATTACATTTGTGTTTCTGAAGTAGAAAGGCATTTCGGAACTCCAGGGTGCATGTGTTGCACTGGAATTGCTGTGAAAGACATTCCATAGCCGAACTGTGTTCCATGGCTTTCACTTTGTCCCCAAAATCCTCTGAGCAATGGGTACAGCGGTATTTAATTGTATCTGTTCAAAGTAGAATTAATGGAGATGCGTCCAAGTAAGAATGTAAAAATTGTACATAAAAAGACAGATCAAAAAACGTGCATGGTGACAAAATCACATACACAATTTCTTTCTCAAGAGCACGAAAGCGTGTTAAACATAGAGACTCACGTGTGCAATGTTCAGTTATGTGAATGCCGGCCTTCGCGTAATTTTGCAAAATTCAAAATTGAAATACCCAGTTGTCACAAATGTATGTCACTTACATGTATTTTGTTTACTTTCCCTACAGGCTGCTTTTCAAAGACAATGATTCATAATGATTTACCATGAATACATAATTAAGTACAAGTGTATATTAAATCAATTCAAAAAACAACCAATGAGCACGCGGCACAAGAATAGTATTTGTTAAAACAAAACAGTTTCAGTATACATATACTCCATACAGTTCTGATGAAGGGGAATTTGTTTAACAATCAAGAGCTTTTTTAGTCAATGATCATTTCTTTTATTCTCTTGACCTTAATGTGTGATTAGGGGGTGATATGGCAAGGCGAAATTAGTAACTGGTCACTTTTAGGAATCAAACGGTTTATGTCAAACAGTTACATGCAAGGTAGACGACACTCTTGTTAAGAGTTATAGAGAAAAAATGATAACTCACCCTGACCACTCTCAGCGTCAACAACGGTTATTTCTTTTATATGCGGCTTCCGTTTGGGCTGAGCTGATGGCTTTCTTCTACGTTTTTTTTCAGTTGGATTTTCACCATCACTTGTGCAGGCTTCAGTTTCCTCTATCAACTTCTTTTTACCCTCAGGAATAAAATCATCATCATCATCATCATCATCATCAATATCGTCATCATCATCATCATCAATATCTTCATCCTCGTCTTCATCTTCACCACCACCGTCTTCATCATCTTCACCAGAATCTTCATCCTCTCCTGCCTCTGCTTCATCATCACTACCATCTTCAGCATCATCATCACCATTATCATCATTATCATTGTCATCACCACTGACATCTACGACCTCTGGATTTCCTTCTTCGAGAGAGTCAGCCATTTCTTCATCCTGGCCTGCATTAGCCCCATCTTTGTTAGATTCTTTGCCTTCATTTCTAGGGTCCACATAAACTTGAGGCTTGATGAGAGGAACCACAGCAATCTTTTCACCAGTATCATCTGTGATGAAGGACACAGGTACACTCTCGACATAGGCTGGATACACAGAACCTGTCAGAAAATAAACACATCAACACAAACTTACTTCCCCATACCAAAACCACATCTTCATGAGGATTCAAAGTGTTTTCCCCAAAGAACTCGACACATTGACACAGCCAGGTCTTGAACTGGTCCTTGGCCTCAGGACTGCAAGTCTAGTGCCTGACCATCAAGCCTCTGTCACACTTGAGCGCTGACTTAAACAAATAAATTCCATGTTGCTGTAGATCTGTACAGTAACAGATCACAAAAGACGTCAAAATGTGGCAAGAACATTCAATGACACAGTCAGCTATGCCTCGAGTGCAACTTTTTTGTTCTCCCATGAGTGACCAAGACAGATTTTCTCCTTACAATAATATCAGTACCATATCAAGCTGACAAGTGATGAGAATAAAGAAAACTATCAATTAGGGGATTATTAGTTGATGCAATGCAAAATTCTCCAAACTTGCATCATAGAAACTGTATAGCAGACAGTAAGGAGAATTGCTGATGAGATCTTGGGAGTGAAAGGGTTAACACATTTTGACGTCATCTTCTGTGACCTGTTACCAAACAGATGCACCTGCCCCCCCCCCCAGTTAGCTCAATTGGTTAGAGCGCCGGATTGTGTTGAGCAGGAGGTCAACGGTTCAAGCCCCGGCTAGACCAGTACTCATGGTGTTAAAATAACTGAGGAGAATTTGCTGCCTTTCTACAATATCAAGAAATGGATAGACAGACAGACATCTATATTTATACAGGATAGCCCCTTCAGTGTAGTAAACACTGGTATCAACGGGGGTCCTGTTACCCACCCATCCCACCCCAGGGGAGGACATCCATCACACAGTAATCTCGTGCGTGGGAAATTAACGTCTCCTGCCCCTAACCCTGCAGGAGACGGGACCTCCATTTATTCGTCCCTATCCGAGAAGACTAGAATATCTAACCATTTCTTGATGTTAAAGAAAGGAAGCATATTCTTCTCAGTTAATTTTAAGACCCTGAGTGTTGGTCCGGCCGGTATTGAACTCTCGACCTCCCGCACAGCAGTCCGGCGCTCTCCCAATTGAGCTAACCAGGCGGCGGTTAAGATATTCTAGTCTTCTCGGATAAGGACAAATAAGCTGTAGGCTCCATCTCCTTCAGGGTTAGGGGTAGGAGATGTTAATTCCCCATGCACGAGATTACTGTGTTGTGGATGTCCTCCCCTGGGGTGGGATGGGTGGGTGTTATTGTTTCACAGGGCCCCATTTAAAATAGCAATTTGCTAAACTAGGCTACCCTGTATAAATATTCGTTAATACAATACAATACACAGCAAGAAGAAATATATTAGTTAAATGCTTAAATGATCTAATTATTCTAATTATTCTGCAAGCGTGCATTGGATACGAGATGATAGATAACCATATCCAACAAGCGCGAGTGGAATAATTGTTTTATTAAAAATGCCCCCAAGATATTAGGCAAATCTTACCAAATCTTAAATTTTTTTGCTCCATTTTTATTTTGAGCTGACACATACACTTACCATATTTGTGGATTATGGTATATTGGCTCATATACAATAATGGCTAAGTCAATAAAAAGTCTTGAATTACATTATTCAATGATCCAGTTTTTAATAAAAAGCAATTATTGGATGAAGTTGAGGATGATATCATGATTTACCAAGACCAAGGTCTGAGATTTGATAATTCATAACATCACGTGAAAATCAAATTCAATAATTGTTTTATTATACACTTGTTTTAAAATTGTTCAGCCATATTTAGTTTCTCTCTCGAGTTTGCTAAAATTTGAGAACACTACACATATGAGATGCTTGGAAACTAGGCAGAATTTAAACTTGACCTACACATGTATGCAAAAAAAAAGCACTACAGAGGATATTGCACAAAATGCTACAATAATATTGACTGAATACTCTTACAAAATCAGATTTTTCAGAGTATTAATTAATCTTTTAGATAAAAATTACCTTTAAATGATTTATCAAACAGGACCATCAACTCTTCTCCCACAGCTATGTCTTTAACAGCTTCAAAACAGACTCCTCTTGGAGAGTTATATGCCACAATATTTTGTTTTGCTGATGATGTGGCACTCTGGAGACGGCTAAGCCAACTGCATTTGTCCTTCTCATTCTTGTGTGCATAGAAAAAGTGCATCGAGTTCCTTTTGTTTTTATCTTTGAACTAAAAATGCAACAGAGTATCAAATGGTATCCCATGATGAACTACCTCTTGTCAAGAGGTTTTGAGTCTCAAACCTGGAAGTATGAAGCCTCTAACTCCCAAGATTTGATTGTTAACTCTGCCCTCTAGCTGCTACACATTTCCTTGAAAATTAGTTACAACAATTTGGTGCTAAGGTATCACTATTATTTTGTGTTGATATGGAAGGTGCTTCAACTAGTAAAAAGAGGAGGAAAGAGGTCAGGAAGAAGAAGATGGGCTACACTGGAAACATAACACAGCTTTTCAATCATCAACACTCAAAGTGCAATGCTGCACAAATGATAATTGACTGTTGGTGATATTTTTCACAAACTACTATGTAGTGCCCAATTGGTAACTTTAACAGAGATAGACTCTAGCCACTGAATCTCTAGTGGAAACCCCTATCACTATCAGTGAATGACATTTCTACTTTGATGCAGGCTGCAAATAAATTGACTAGCTTTCAGACAGAGCTAATGAAAGAAGACTTGATAATGAATGAGCAATTTCCAAACTGTACAAAACTCTACTAAAAATCAATAGATTGTGAAATCATCAATTAGGTAACTAGTGGAATTTGACATCAATCTCACGCCTTCCATTCTACTCTCAAATTGCTTTTAAAGCTTTGTATCTCCTGAAGTACAAAAAATACCAAAATAAAATTTTCAGAAGTTGATAGATCTTTTTTAGATAATTAGATCATCAATTTTCTGGAAATTAAAAATAATTGGTTTTTTTTTTTCTGTGATACCTTAGATTAAACATAACAAATAAATGAAATTCATATGTCTGAACTGCAGTTATAGAAACGTATTTGTGCACAATCCTCACAGTAAAGAACACTATTTAAGCAATGGTGAAAATCAGACCTGAAAAAATTCAGGCCTCTACGGGATTCAAACCACTGACCTCTGGGATACTAGTGCAGCGCTCTACCAATTGAGCTAACAAGTCAACTGGGAGCAGGTCATCAAATCAATTTGACATAAACCCGTAAGATGATAAATCAAACACAACGAATATATAAAATTCATATGTCTGAACTGCAGTTATAGAAACGTATTTGTGCACAATCCTCACAGTAAAGAACACGATGTAAGCAATAGTGAAAACCTGAAAAAATTCAGGCCTCTACGGGATTCGAACCACTGACCTCTGCGATACTAGTGCAGCGCTCTACCAATTGAGCTAACAAGTCAACTGGGAGCAGGTCATCAAATCAATTTGACATAAACCCGTAAGATGATAAATCAAACACAACGAATATATAAAATTCATATGTCTGAACTGCAGTTATAGAAACGTATTTGTGCACGATCCTTGCATTAAAGAGATTAAGATAACAACCTCCAACCTAATAAGTTTTAATATTCTCATTACCTGTTGGCATGATAATGCAAAGATATTGTGAGGAGAAGTTACATGTTAAATACTTCAATGGAGTCAAAGAGTTGACACTAGTAATGTATTTAACTTATATTTGGATAATCACCAGGTATTTGTACCAAAATTGTGTTCTAATCTAAATCATGTTATATAGAAAAGCCTTAAGTTTGTGCTTAATGCTTTATATATATATATATATATATATATATATATGTACTGTATTTGAAACTATTACAATGATCTTAAAATTCTTGTAAAAAGTCACCCTCCTCAAAACTTTGGGTGAATTGACAAAAGCGCATCAGGTGTTTACTTAACCACAAATCATACCTGTGACACAAAAAAGTACATTTTCTCTGGAGACTTCCTCTTGTCAACAATTTTTCCAATGAATGGGCCAAAACGCCTTCCTTCAGGTATCTGCATATGGGCCAATATTCCAGCTCTGCGTAACTCAGGAGGAAGGTGGGCGTCTTCTTTTTTTTGTACCTTAGGCTTTCCTGTAAAATCCAATCAAACTACTTCACAAAGAGAAAGAATTCTCTCAATTGTATCTGACCCTTTCTCAAACTTCCAATAGCATCAATGCACTATTTGTTACAATGTGACTTAAGTGTGGAACACCTTTATCACCAAATCATGAAACAAACCATTGCTTTTTGGACTACAAAAACTCAATTATAATTTTATATAAAGTGTTATTGTTTTTCTCATCAGGTAGTCACTTAAGATGTGGATACAATGTTTCAACTGTGCACTTTGTCACCAGCATTTCAGGCAGTTTACCAGTGCTTGTTTTCCAACAAAAGTCTACTCAACAAATCAACAGTAGTTTAGCATGGTCTGTACCCTTATCAGTGCTGCTGCACCCTGTGCGTCCATGACATTTTGACTGTACTGTGATGACAAGTATTGTTGTTCTTAAGGGTACAAACCACACTAAAACTACTGTCGATCATGAAAAACAGTTCTCTCTGATGTTTTCTAATTCTCAAAACCAGTCTACTTGACAGAGTTGAAAAACAAAAATGACAAGGAGAATTTGTATTGACAATCTGTCTATTGTTTGATCATTCACCTAAATAACTATTTGAGTCTAACTTCTGTTTGTCCAATTGTTTCCTTGTTTTAATTTTCCTGAAACCAGGAAACAGTAAGACCTCACGGTAATCTGTCTGCTTCAAAATTGTCTTTGCCTTAAAAAAAATATTTTAAACCCCTCCCCCTCCTCCTCCCCCCCTCCCCCCGCATCTGTTCCCAGATCATTGTATATTAAAAATAAAAATTGTTTGAAAGAATTCAAGCTCGGAAACTTTTCAACGACAAAATAACATATCAGTTGTTGTGATATTTCTCTACAGCTGTGGCTCTTGTATCGCTTGGTTTTGAATGGATATCACAATTTTCTCTTCCTTTCTCTCCCTTTCATATATGCAAGGACTTTATATTCCACACAACATTCCTTCTCTATGGGAAAGGAGTTGGAGCATACCCAAAACATTGTTTTGTTAATTCGCTTCAGAAATAATATGCAAATAACTTTCCATTTGGACTCTCGACTCTAGTGGACATTTGAACAACTACATTCCTCCTCGACCGAAATCACTCGTGATGTAGCCTTTTACTTTCCTTAAACATAGAAAATAAAGAAAATTTAGAGTGATAAACATCTGATATGCTACATTTCTCTTCCTATTGGCTTTTGATTCGAAGTCAACACTCAAACTTAAAGCTTCCGTTCCACAGTTCCATTAAAACCGACACTCGCTTTCGACTTTAGACCTGGCTCAGTTAACACCAAGTCCTACCTTTCTTCTTCTTTGCTTTCTCTGAGGAAGAAGATGTCCGTCCTGCTGGGCTCTGTAGTCTTAGACGCTTGCCTGAGGTCGTTCGCGATCCTTCGCGAGCGCCGCGTTCTTGCAATTTCCTTTTCGTTGTGTGTTGAAGAGGTCGCGCCTTCATTCGAGCCATTTTCTTGAACGTTTCGACGCAAATTTCCAGATCAGAAGTCTCAAACGAGTTTTCGGTAATTCAAAAGCATTTCAAGATGTAAAAAGGTAAGCTTGGCAAGAATCGATCCGCTTTAGTCCACACCCGCGAGCACAGAGTCCGCCATAAGTTCATACCATTCCGACTTGTTTCATCCTATTGATCACGTGACGACTCTTCTTATGTTCTCGCGGAAGACTGGGTTATATTTCCTGATTTGGTCAGGGCAACGCATTTAGACAGGAGAACCCGACGGGCATTTGTTTTAAAAATGAATATTTCCTCCCCAAACAGAAAAATGAATTCTGCAAATTCCCATTTGGCTAATAATTAATCTTCATGGAAAACAAAGATATATAGCCGCCTCTGTCAGCCAGCATGAGACAGTGTGAGAACAGTAACTTTGACCAAGAGAGAATCTTAGAATCATTTGATTTTAACAGCTTTACAATCTTTGACCATCTCTCTATGGTGGCCAATTTACATTATCAACTGAGTTGATAAGACTATATTATCTTGTAATACCCTCTACTGATGAAGTATAGGAAACTCTGGAAACTCCTTTCCCCCCTCTCCTAAGATGGGTGACTGTGAAAGCTTTGAACTTTATTTTTGTTGTTTTCCTCAGATTGAACTAAACAATGTAGCCTTCAAAAAATTTGAGAAACATCCAGGTTAAAGTGCATTTTAAACTCTTTACTGTGCTTCAGCTGCAAATCAATGGCATTTCACACTGAGCTAACTGCCTCCTGGTTAGCTCAATGGATAGAGCGCCGGAATGTTGTGCGGGAGGTTGAGGGTTCGAGCCCTGGCCAGACCAACACTCAGGGTCTTTAGATAACCGAGAATAATTTGCTACCTTTCTATAACATCAATGACAATGACAATAACTTTATTTATACTTGAATTTAAGATAGCAAATACATGCTAATATCTCCAAGTTAAATTATCTAAATTTAAAATATTTAAAATTAATCTAATTACTATCTGAATACTATCTATATATAAAATACAAAATATAATTCTAAAGCAAAGGAAATGGTTAGATATTCTAGTCTTCTTGGATAGGGACGAATAAATGGAGATCCTATATCCTGTAGGGTTAGGGGCAGGAGACGTTAATTTCCCACGCATGAGATTACAGTGTGATGGATGGCCTCCCCTGGGGTGGGATACCCACGGGATAGAGGGCCACAGGATCATCAGTTGTACTTAAACTGGTTTACCCTATACCCTCAATCAGACAATAAACAACAACGTTTCACTGGTAATTAGGATACTGGCTGCTGCACAAGATTAGAAGCTCCACACAGATAGAGCCCGGCTTCCTGCGAGCAACAGACCCAATTTATTGATTGTAACGGCAATCTTGAATCATGATAAACTAGCATGCCTACTACCCGTCAGGAAAAACCCCGTATATTTTGGAGGAAACCTGATCCCTCCCGAATGTAGAGCCAGGCACTTAACAACAACCTTGAGGGAGAAAGGCTATCAAATGACAAGAACATGAAAACAGAATGAAAAGTGCACTAGTAAATAAAATAAAATTAAAGAAGAACCCGCAGGTTGCAGCAATGCCAGTGTAGAATGATTTCCCTCAGGAAAATCCCGTTAGCATGTGCTCTCATCTCTGATGTTGCCATAGCAACTGTCAAAACTTCGGTGAACCATGAAAACATGAATTTGCTGCTATTCTTCAAACCACAGCAAATAGTAATTACATGCTACCCTCTTAAAATAAAGTCATTATCTTATCTTATCTATCTTACCTTGTATCTATATTTCAAAAATAAACTTTAGATCTTCACTTAAAACCACATAGCTTCAACACATATGAAAACTAAAAAACAATATTCAAATGGCTTCGACTTTGTCTCAGTCCTTTGAAACACAAAAAAGAATGAGGGTAATATCCAGCCATTCTGAGTTAACAAGCTTGGTCAACAAAGACTTTATTATATAGCAAAAAGATTTCTATTAAAAATTGTTTATTTCATCTTTAAAAAGATTTCAGTCCAGACATTTTAAATTCCAGTGATACCAAGGAGACATAAGATAGACGTTTTCCATACTGAATGGTTAGAAACTCTGCCAGGTATTCCAGCATTTTTGGTGGTCTTGGAAAGGTGGTCAGTGCCTTGTGCTCAAAACTTCCCTCAAGAGAGCTTAAAATTATCCCCTTAGATGATGTTCATTTTGGAACCAGCTTCATCCAGGGAACACTGAATATTCTCTGCTGACAGGATGTTAAAGTGCCAGGCTCATACTTTCAAAAACTTTTTAAAAATACTTTTAAAAAATTTGCACAAAAGCAAATCAATGTTATTCAGTTCTAGCTCAAGAATGACTCAATCAAAGTTCAATCAATCAATCAAAGTTTATTGTCTAACGTGAGGCATGGTTGCCCAATTGCCCGAGCCAGAGGCTCATGTATAAAATGGTAGACTATAAATTAACTATAATTAAAGGTATATTATTAGAAGTACTTAAAACTTTATAGGTAAAAATATATAAGTTTAGAGTACGAGTGATAATTGTAAAATTGTAGGTGATTAATATTGATAGTTAAAAGAGTCTAAACATTATGTTCGGTGAAAGATATTGCAGTAGATGAATATGAATAAGAATGACAATGTATGTGTACGTACAATAAAAGTCAACTACATGTATTACATTTACAGATTGGTCCTAGAGTGCTAAAATCGAAATTCTTAAGTTTACTACAAAAATCGCTAAGCGTAGATGCTGTTTTAATTTCTCTTAGTAAACTGTTCCAAAGGTGACTAGCTTTATATGTAAAGGAATTATGATACGATCTATTATTATACCCTGGTTGCACTAGATTTACACCTTTATTCCTTAAACTATATCTAGATTCCCGCAATTTAAAAAAGTTTTTAATATATTCCGGACCGTTCCATTTCATACATTTAAAAAGTAAAACCAAGGAAATATAAAATCGCCTATGTTCTAGAGTTTTCATGTTGCTTTTAGCTGAGATTGTATTGTAATCAACATTATTGCCGAGATTAAGCAAAGTTTTGAGTGCATACTTATTGACTGACTCAAGTTTAGAGCTCAGTGTTTTATTTATTCCAAGCAATAGCGGACTACAGTACTCCAGGTGACGAAGTATGTACGCCTTATAGAGTGATAGGGAGACATCTACAGGTATAAGTTTTTTGAGTCTCCTAAGGGCACCAATCTTGGCATAGACCTTTTTTATGACACTCTGAATGTGATCAGCAAATGTTAACTTGTTGTCAATTCAAACTTCTCTGGTCTTGTTTTCTGTGAGACGAAACTGCTTCCATGCCTTGATATCACTTTCCGGTTCTTGTTCCACAACGTTTTTTTTGCTTTGGATTTCTTCTGCACCCTTTTGTGAATCCATTGCAGCAACAATTCATCCACATTAGCACCTTTGAATTTTTTCTTCTTGCACAGGATTTGCTTCATCTCACCCAACTTTCTTATCCATCTTACTTGGTTGATTAAGTCAGAACATTGAACGGGGTCAAATTCCTCAAACAAGTTCACAGTTTTGATGAAAAAGTGAGGACACAACTGACGTGTCAAACAACCCTCAAGCAAGGAAAGTAAGTCCTTACGTCTTTCCCAGCACTGATCATGGTTCCACAAAGACTGAGGTTTTAACTCACGCAGGTAAAACCAGAGGGTTTTAAAGTGGTACGATTTCAAGGGCTTCAGCCAATGCTTCAATTTCTTCAGCTTGCATAACACCTGTCTTGCACAAGACTGACTTCCCTCCTCAAGACTTCCCCAAATGAACAGTCTCCTCTCAGCAGCTGAAAAGCTGAACCTCCAACAGAATGCTTTTCCGTCTTTAGGAAAAGAGCATGTACTTGAAGGTTTCTTTGCAACCACATGACAACCATCTTGTAAAACTATTTCTTTGAGAAGGTCATCATCAGGCCAAACTGAAACAGATTCAAAACAAAAGTAGCTGTGATTTCTGTCATAAAGTTTATGTCGGCTCTGGGATGAACCTACAAGTGTTTCAGTAAGTTGGAGTGGAGGAAGACTGAGGGAAACCTGTGACTGGAAAAGTACAGATACTCTCTATTGAATAACAAACCTTGGGGCAGCCAACACAAGCATATAGATATCAAATACAAACTTATTGGCTTGGCCCGTGGGGCTTTTCAGAATCAATTTTCAATGGGAGTCTTCAGAATTTTCAGGCTTTTTAGAGTCTAGCATGACATACATAAAGAAATCTGATACCTCGAGTCCTTGTGATCCATTCCCTTGCATCATCTGGCCAGTCAACTTTGATAGCCAAAGTCAAGTCCACAGAAACATTTCTTCCTTCTGGAGTTGTTATTTTCAGGGTTACTGCTGGACCGTTTTCCTCAGCAACAACATTGCTACAAAGTCAGAGATCACTTTATTATATGATTTGGAGTAAACATTGTATCAGATATTGTTTATGAATTGAAATCATTACAGAGTTTTTAATCTACCCAAATATCAAATCCTTGAAAACTGGTTAAAGAATGTGATGACCCTGCAGAATCCAAGAGTATCAGGTGATCAAACAGTGCAATTGTTTGCATGAGTTTAGTCCTGAGAAGGAGTTCTTCTGTGTTTGCTACTGGTGTGGCATTTCAGGAAAATTCATATTGAAAACACTTTACAAAATAGTGATAGAGGGTCAAATAGGCAAACATGTCCAATTCAGTTAAAACTTTTTTGTGTTGAGAAAGAGATCCTAATTATCAAGGAAATCCCCTATATACATCCATTTGCTATTCTATGGTGTAAAAATAGTTAAAATTACAATATAAACTATCTTTATACTACACTACCATCACTCTTTGCTCTACTTCCTTAAAAAAACAGCATCAGATATTTTATGGTATTTGAAATTTGTTGTTTCAAGACCTCAACAAAAGAGCAAGGTGAGCCTGAGTCATGAACTTTATTCTTTCCAACATACATAAGCATTAACCCATACCTTTGAAGTAATGAGACAGCCACTTTGACACAATTAGCAAATAGCTCTCTCATTTCTGTGGCATTCAAGAACCCCTGTCTATTGGCACAGCCTAACTTCTGCCACAGCTTCCTTTTGGGCCCTGTTAGCTTAATCAAGGTGAATCCTACAATCACAGAATAAATAATGTCAATCTGTTTATATGCAAATTTAACAAAAACTATCAAAGGTGTCAACAGGGATGGGTGCCTAGAAAACACAGACCGCAGACCTCAAAAAATTCATTTTGACATTTGGTGATGTTAAAAAGGATTTTTTTGAGAGGATATTTAAAGCAGCAGCACAGACGTTTGCAAAACAATGTAAATCATCTCGGTTCAAAGTTTTTGTCCACTTGTTACTCGAACTTCTGGTGAACTCTTAAAGCTTTATACTCAGATGTCATCTGGACACTTCAGACATTCTTATCCCTTTATTGTTATTTTTTACTGGCGATTAAGAAACATGTCTAAGAAAAGATTTGATTGGACTTGAGTGTTAGTCATGTGAAACATTGCGTGATGAATTTTCCAGCACTAGGGTCATGTGAGACCGGCTTCTCAAAACCATGTGCTATCAAACAAAATCATGACGTGCACACTGGTGTTGAATGCTTCTTCTTTTGAGCCCAACATGGCTTTCAAGAAACCTTTTCTTGATCCAGGTCTGCAGTCTGAGTTTTCAAGGTCTGCATTTTTGAGACACCTCAACAGGGATTGTGGATAGATCTGCTCTAGGAATGATGAGCTAGGATGTCCAGTTTGAAATGAGAAAAATGAGCCTTGCCACTTGTCTGAGGAGATTATAGTAACAGTTTACTCCAAGGAAAAAAAAAAAGGACTTATTATTTATTAACTACTGAGTAGGAGGGATAGAAACACACAAATAAAACTTTGCAGTGAAACCACATGGCTGCGCTTCGATCGTGGTTTCACTTAAAGCTTTGCACATTAACGACCCATGACCTCTGCACTGGCATCACAGAGGTCATGGGTTCGAATCCCGTACAGGCTAGAATATTTTTCAGGTCTTAATTTCACTACTACTTAAATAGTGCTCCTCACTGCGAAGATTGTTCTCATATGAATTTAGGATGTGCCAACACTAAATATTCGATACCAGCCCACACTTTGTCTCACGCCAGCACCAGTCGCTGACTTGGAGTCTAAAAGACTCTGGGCTTGAGATTGGGCAATGAGTACTGCAGTGTACCAGTGAAAGGGTCTCAATGGGGTCAACTGTCAAGCGTCAGAAGGCCAAAATATTAACCCTCAACCGTCAAAAACGCAATGTTTTTACCGTCAACCATCAAATAAGCAAGCCAATGTTGGCCGTCAAATGTCTCAGACATCCTTAATTAAGGAATAAATGATTGCCTCAATTGGGGTCAAGTTCTGTTGTTTATAAATAAAAGTTTTGATATATCACAAAAAAGATATTTATGTAAGTCCTTTAACTTCTAGTCGTGAGTAAAACTGGTTAGTGATACTTCCAGTGTCGTAGAACATTAGTCATTTGATAATGAAAGGTGTTATGAATTAACAGATCTCTAAAAACTTGTCATTATGAAAAATTGCAGTCACATTCGAGCATTTAGTTCGTTTTATACACGACATTCCAAAAAATTAAACATTAAATGTCAAATGACCGAAAATTTAACTGTCAACCGTCAAAAGGGCTAATTTTTAACTGTCAACCGTCAATGTGCCCCACCCCCCCCTTTGAGACCCTCATCTAAGTAGTGGCGCAGGAGCACTGCAATAGTGAACTCAGTGGCGACCACAAGTTTAGTATTATATGTTTGACTGTCTTATTGACGCTTCTGTAACGTGTTCTATAGAGTACTGAACGCTGCATATTAAGTACTTTAACAGTGCACTAGAACGATATATTTCGTCGATCAAATCACGTGACTTAACATTTAACTCAACGACGTCACAGTATTGGTATCGAGATGGTATCGAGGAAAAACGCTGATATCTTAATCGGTATCGTATCGATTCGGAAAAACCGTATCGGCCCATCCTTACTGACAATCGGCAGGTAAACTTCAGAATACCCGGTCACTTAATAGGCGTCTTTAAATAGCTGCTCCCGCAGTCCCGTGGTCGACATGAATTACACTTACCGAAATTCAAATTGCAATTAACCGTCATATCTTAGGGCCTGATTACATGAGCCGGGCTGGCCCGGTTAGCCGGGCTGATTTCTTTTGTTTTGGTGTTCGCAAAAGCGTGAAAACAAAAGAAATCAGCCCGGCTAACCGGGCCAGCCCGGCTCATGTAATCAGGCCCTTAATTTCGCGTTCTTCAAGCGAAATTCAAAATGGAATCACAAAGAATTTCGACTTCCCTGTCGAGTGAGTCGCCACATTCAAATATATACTCTTCGATCTTAAATCGAAATTCAAATCGCAATTAACAGTCATATCTTAATTCCTCGTTCTTCAAGTAAAATTCAAAATGGAATCGCTGATTAAGTCAGTCGAGAAAACGAAATAAAGCAAAAATAAAAACGGATAACAACAAAAACTAACCTGGTAGTCCAATAGTATGCAGTTTCACGGAACCAATTGGTAATTCCAGCATCAGATCGATGTCTGCTGACGTATTTATTGCAGTACCTTCGAAAGAACTTCCGCTCGGGATGATATTGAATTTCTGAAACCACATACTCTCCACGAAACCAATAACCGGTCTGACGATGTCTGGACACCGGTCCAAAGCCAGCTGAACGTTGATCTCCATCAGGGAAGCCTCAACAACGTTATCCACTATACCTGTCCCGTACGACATCGCGTTCAAAAGATCTGAAATTTGCCCTGAACGGTGAGTAGTAGAATAGCAGAAATTAGTGATTTGCTTAAACTCCCTTATGGCTCTCGTCGCTCCGCGTCGCTCCTGCCGACGCTCCCGCCACTTTTCAAACAATCTCGAGCCCACGGTCATTTTGGCTACTTGTCAGCGGTATGGACACCCCCCTGGAACTGCACTAGTATCGCAGAGGTCAGTGGTTCGAATCCCGTACAGACCTGAATTTTTTCAGGTCTGATTTTCACTATTGCTTAAATAGTGCTTTTTACTGTGAAGATCGTGCACAAATACGTTTCTATAGCTGCAGTTCAGCCACGTGACAGCACACTTGCCAACGGTTGCTATCCGCCATTACTGTGCCCCTCAAGCGTTAACAAACAAAGAGATGTACTGTACTTTTACCATAGTGGTTGGATGTACTTCTGAAAGCGGAAAAATCGTCGTAGCTTTCATACAATACCCAAGATTGGGCAAGAGTACCATATAACCCCATACATTAATTATGCATTCAGACTAGTAGACTTTGTTTTTAAAGTTTTGTCGTGAAAGACAAAGGAGTGGAATGCATAATTAATGTATGGGGTTATATGGTACTCTTTCCCAAGATTGTATTGAATCAAGGAGAAGATCACGAAGAGCTCACGAGAGAGAGAAGAAGGCGCTGGATTTCAGCGATCAGTCGAGGCGATACAGAGACGAAGAGAATCCTCGACAGTGAACGAGCATATGGGTTACATTTTGTTACTGGAAAAGCTGCAGCCTCCTGGGATAGATATCACATCGACTGGGTGCCAACTCTAAACCTCGGAAAACAACAAGCGAAGCAACCTACGGTCAATGAACATGAAGAAAAAGTGAGTTTGAGGGCCGAAAGGGCCAAAGAGCTCGGGAAGAGAAACATCGAGCGTCAACAAATCGAAGCACCTAAGTAGAAAAAAGAGCTGGAACAAAGTGGTCTGGCTGTACAAAACATAGATTTTGCCACTGCTAGCGCATCTACTGACGATGTTTCAAGCTTAGACCCTCGTTCTGACGAGGTTTGTGGCAGTACAAGCTATGGATATTTTGACGGCAACGAGACAGAGAAGGAAGTCGAACGGTCGTCCACAAAATGGTTGATCGTTCCACTTCAACTGAGGACTTTGAAGTAGTTTCTGACGGCAGGAGAAATAGGGGAATTCAGGCTCTAGATTTCAATTATTTGTTTTACAACTCTGTGTATCATGCTCCAGTCAAGGACTTCTTCCATTCTCCAGAGAAAGTTCGCTTTTACACCGGATTTTCTCCGTTTGAAGTACTAATGGTAGTATTTGAACATGTAAGTCACCGTACGTATCACGACGATCCAATTTAACCAATTTGAACAGCTTTCAAGAATTTATCATAGTTTTGATGAAGCTACGGTTAAATGTACTATTTCAAGATTTAGCATACCGTTTTGAGGTGTCCTTAACAAGTGTGTCAAGGATATTCACCACATGGATACATGCAATGGACTCGAGGTTGTTTGACTTCATTTATTGGCCAGAAAGGGAACAACTATGGGAGACTATGCCAATGTGTTTTCAATATACCTTTGGTCGTAAGGTAACTGTGATAATTGATTGTTTTGAGGTTTTTATTGAGAAACCAATAAATCTTATGGCCAGAGCTCAGACCTTTTCTTCATACAAGAATCATAACACTGTTAAGATTCTGATTGGAATTACACCTCAAGGAAATGTCTCTTTTGTTTCTAAGGCTTGGGGAGGAAGAACCTCAGATAAATTCTTAACCGAGAACTGCGGAATCCTAGAAAAACTGATACCAGGAGATACTTATGGCAGATAGAGGATTCACAATTTCTGAGAGTGTTGGGTTAAAGCAAGGAGAGCCAGTGATTCCTGCATTCACCATAGGAAAAGCTCAGTTAGACCCAGTAGATGTAGAGTGTTCAAGAGGCATAGCCAATTTTAGGATCCAGGTGGAGCGAGTTGTAGGTTCACTATGAAGGAAATACACTATATTAGAAGGAACACTCCCCACTAAATTCTTGAGTTGTGACCTGAATGGTCTCACAGAGAACCAGGTACCCCTAATAGATCGTATTCTAAGGGTTTGTTCAGCCCTTGTAAATTTTTTCCCATCAATAGTACCATCCGATTAACTAGTTTTTAAATGAATTTTTATTGTTTTCTAAAATAATACCCTGGTGGAAATCTTTCCCAGAATCCTACAGGATATTGGAATCTTGATTATCCTATCAAGATCCTGTGGGATCTAAAGACTCTTATAAATGAGGATCCTAATCCTGGACAGAATCCTGTTTGGGATCCTGATAGAATTCTACAGGATCCTGGAAAATATTTTCACAAGGGTAGTGCAAGAACTTTGTAATATATTAGGAACCAACCACTTCTAATGACCTATGCTTTGGGCAGATACCTAAATACAATTTTGTACAGCTTGATTACTTTCAACATATGCATTGCCACTATGGTAACAAATTATTGATATCTATTAGTAGAATGGTTTTCATTAATCCATTAAATACACTTTGGGGTAATACACCTTAGTTTCATTTCTGTTATTTTGATGTTTACACTCTACTCTTAGTTCCATTTCTGTTATTTTGATGTTTAAACTCTACTCATCCAGGGGTTTCATTAATGTTTTCTGCAGGAGGGCAACTGGTTTTCACAGGTGGGCAAAACTCTTTGAAGCGAACTTCTTTATAAGATAAACTTTCCTCCAGACCGTCAAATCAGGTGAGCAAAACCGTCCTCACAACCGGTCAATTTTGCCCGGTGCCTGGCCCTTAATGAAACCCCTGCTTATCATACTTTGTTTCACAGGTTAATGAAAAATATTCTAACTAGTGGACAAAATTATTTAGCTGCTGATCAGTGAACTAAAAGGGCAAAGATAAATGTTTTGTTAACAAATAATTTTTTGTAACAAGTGTCAATCACTTAAATTGAGAACATTTGTGATGTAAATGCATGTCAAGGATGGCAAATATCAAGTTAATAGTGATTGTGGTTTTAACTAAAAAGCAACAACAAAAATTGTTGAATTTTTTAATCAAATATATTTTAAATAGTAATAGTCATCTTGCACATTGTCAAAATAATATTAAAAACAGGAACAAAATATTATTTTCAATATTTTGAAAAATTATTTCAAAAATGGCAATATTTTCCTACAAAAATAAAGTGCAGTAGTTGTGCTTAGATTCATTTTTCTGGTCAATTCCATGACAAAATTGTACAATTATATGTGTAAATGTGAATGATTTCACATTATTTTACACTAATAGACATGTTTCAAATGTTATTTATAAAATTCAGAAATGGTCAATATATTCTTATGAAAATAAAGTGCAGTATTAGTCTTTAAATTCATATCTCTGGTTAATTTTATGACAAAAATATACAATTCTAAGTATCAATGTAAATGATTTCACATTATTTTACACCAACAGAAATGTTTTGGTATTTCAAAATTCAGTGATTTCTCCTGCATTTAGAATGTAAACAATTTAACTGCAAAATAAAAATTAATAAACAGCACAAAATAGTGCTAATTAAGGATGGTAAACAACAGATTGCACTATTTAGTATTACTAGTGTTTTGTGGGTAACTAAATGGCTGCATTGTTTGCACTCTATTATATGTAGTTAGAGTTTGATTGGAGTATCCATCAAAAGATTCAGTGTGACTGTCAAGTTTCTCTTTTAGCTTTTTAGCAGAAGAGAAATCAATTTCTTTTTCCCCTGTATGGGTAACATTACTTACATAAGTTGGAAGAAGCCATGAGCATTTTACTTGCGTACAAGCCAACTTTTCGAGTCCAACATTTAATATAAAATAAAACACTGGCAACGTGTGAGCAAGATTCAGCTAGACCTGCCTAACAGCCAAAGCAATGAGCGGACAAAACTCTTCTATCTTTTCCTGTAATAAGCCAGATATTGACGAGAGGATCATTTATACGTTGTGAATGTCGGACTTTGGCGACGGGCGACCCTTAAAGCCGGAATGACGGAACGATGGAATGCCGGAACGACGAAATGATGGAATATGACCCCAAATCCTAAATTCCACATGGTAAGTTTCATTGATTTTTATTTCCATTTTCAAGCATATTTCCAGACCTAAACCTCGCCCCATATGTTCTCTCTATTTAACCATGTGTACGTGACACAGACAGTGAGCCTGGGTTACTGTGTTTTAACTGGACCATATTTTGTTCCCGCATTCAAATCTCAACGGTTGCTCGCGTAACTTAACACCGCGTCACACAACGCGTGACGCTTTCAAGAAATAATCCTTCGCTTTTGCTCGAGACGTGTGCTGAGGGGCACCGTAATGACGGACACCGTAATTGGATTGCCAGTGACGTCACGTGAAAGTCACGAGGTTGGTAGGAAAGTGTGATTTACGGAAGGGATCGGAAATGGAGCGATAACTTTAAATTATTATAACTGTTTTCTTTTTGTGCGTGAAGTTTTCACTTGAAAACTTCCTTAAAAATTAATGATATCTTCCAGCGGAAGATATAATTAATTTCTATTGTACAACAATACGTCCTGTTCTGGAATACAGCGCGCAAATATCCCATTATGCGTTAACCGCGTATCTTAGTGATGACATCGAAAGGGTCCAAAGGCGCGCACTATCTATTATTTCACCAGAACTGTCAGATCATGACTCCTTAGATAGGCATGGTTTAGCTTTGCTATACGCCAGACGCAAGAAGTTATGTACGGATCTGCTTTTGTCCATCTCAAATCCATCTCATAAATTATACAGTTTGCTGTCAGACAGACATCATTCAGCGTACAACACAAGACGCCAGCGCGTTTTTTGAAAAGCCGCGCTTCCGCACTGATCGTTTCAAATCTTCGTTCATTCCGGCTATGTGCGCGAGGGCTAATAGGGTCTTAGCATCGACTGCGTATTTGTTCCATTGCTGTATAATTGTAATTATTTTAGGTCTTGAATCTTTTGTAAATTTTGTAGTTTTTATATGGTCACATATATATATAATTTATAAATAATTGTGAAAAGTACGCAATTCAGCCGATGGC